ATAATTATAATTTTAATCTAGTGATGATGACCACTTTTAACACCTCTTAACACCTCCAGTTACTTATTCAAAGAATCAATGTCTCACATCGAATAAATATTAAGTATCATCACCATTTTTCAATCGAAATGAATCATACGTTCTTTTATAAAATTGCAATACAAAAATCGCAATTCTATTGTGTCTAAGGTAATTTACCTGTCTAGTTCCAGGCGTCGTAGCGCACGCCAGACCAGAATAGCGAAGTGTAACGGCTGTTCGTCGATTCCGCATTATTTACACTCATATCGGCACTATCTTCTAACACTTTCTATTTTCCAATTACGCAAATTAATATTGCGAACACACCAGGCGTCAACTGTCACTACAGTCTTACAATTTTGGTGTAAGATACAAAAATTGAAGTAATTAAATAAACAAAATACTTAACAACACATTATTACCACTTCAAATAAAAAATGACTTAAGTTGAATTTGAACTAAATTAAAGCCACTTGATATATGCACGTTATCAGCATTACACAGCTTTTTGTTATTGCAATGGCGTTTACATTCACTAGATTATATTTTTCAAATGATATTACACTTTTGTATTTCATCGACAATGCTATTGGATGAAGGTTTGACCGTTTTAATTGTAGATGGTGTTATTCGTAGTGTTTATACGTTTTGATATGTAGCAAATGTTTTTCGAAAGTAGAGCGTCGATATGCTGAATGTGTCCGAGCTTTCCGATCGTTTTGACTTTGACTCACCGTACGCGCTGGCTTTAGTGAGCTCAAGCGCGCCGCGGTTGTTTACTGCGGTCTGCGTTGACTGCGCTATGCCGCCCAGCACAAAGTGCTGGAGTCGCGTTCAGTTTTGATCGCACGCAGTCACACGCTTTTCACCCATAAAGCATCCTAAGTCTTATTTTCTTTCCACACTTTTCTACGTCTATGGTTTCATAGAGAGAGAAACACAAGCCTCAATACTTATTTCCGCTTATGTCAAGTTTGTTCTATCTACCTTTATACCTACCTGAAAGTAACTTAAGCCGCTTAAATTTAGTCTAATTATTATATTTTTAGACACTTTGTATGTTAAATTTACTCTGCGGTAATTTTGTTGGTTTAAGCATTTTTATTTATTTAAAATTATAGTTTTTTGTTGAAATTGTGGGATCGGTGAGTGAGTGCAAATGTTATAATTGATGTGTGTTAAAAGACACGATGTTTATTATCACGAACAATGTTTATTAAGAAGTATGAAGAGAAGTGAAGTTAGTAGAACTGTAGAGTTTGAAGTGTGTGGAATAACTGTAGAAGTGTCGCTTGTGAAATGTGTAGAATAACTCCCCTTCCTAAACCCTTGTCACTCACCAGCAACCCTTCAGGTTGATGGGTGGTGACAAGAAATTTGGAAGTAGGAAGAAAGCGATAGATTTGATTGGTAGAAGAAAGTCTGTGACATTGAAGAGAGGGGAAAGTTGACCATCGGATTTTGGGAATCCGAGCCGGACCATCTGCTACTGACCGCACGCTAGATACAGCGTGCCAAACCGTCCGACTCGGGGATTAGGTTTTTCAAGGGTAATAAAAGTAATTAGGAATTTTGGGAATTTTATACGAAGAATTATGGCATGCAATATAGATGAAGAAAGTTATAGAGTGCATGCAATATAGATGAAGAAAATTAGAATAGATAGATAGAATAGAATTAGAATAAGCGTTGGGTAATGATCCCCACAAAATAAAACAGTTCACTTTTTATAAACAACTTAATTAATGACAGCCGCAAATATTTGGCGGATGACCTTGCTACGCTCGGTCGCATGTGACTTTAATGAGGCGGAAGTAAAAGTAAAAGTCACGCCTCGCATCTCGCACCTGACTGACGCAAATTTTAAGTTTTGTTCTAAGTTAAACACAGTGTGTGTTTCATATTTGTTTTATTACTCTAAACACATTGTATGTGTGTATGTTTTGGAGTTATTTTTTACATTTAAAATCATTATTCGATTTTAAGCCGATGTGGTAATAAAATAACGCCGGACGCCTAGCGCACGTCGAGTTAGGAGATAATGGAGGAAACGGCCGGAGCGGAAAAAGCAGCAAACGAGCCGGCGAAAATTGGATTAAAAGGCAAAAACGAATTTCCCGTGAGAAGAAAGAATCCGCGTGATCTTTTTCCTAGTTTTTTTCTCTTGTGACAGGCTTTAATTCGTTTTGTCGACGCTTTTTTATTCAACTCTTCTCGCTTGTTAATAATTTAATCATCGGAACAACTGTTAAGTGGAACGCAGCAAAGGAAAGCGGAAAAAGCGGAAAACCCAGAACAGAAAGTGAACCGTCAAATGTGACTAGAATTTATTCACTTCTTTCAACTCAATTAAATATGATACTTTTTCAAGTTAAATGTTAGGTTAGATTGTTTGCGCATGCGTATTCCGTATGTATTCTACATCAAAACTTTTCTCATCTTACGAAGCAACGTAGCGAAATAAAAGGATGAAAGGTAAAGAATGATCAGATTTTATAACTTACGGTGCATTAGGCATAGGCACTAAACACCCCATTTAGTGACTCCTTCGACGCTTTACTACTTGAGTCCTTTTTATCGCGTTTGGATGCGCACCAGCCACGTTTTACGCATTTTTCGACGTTATACTCGATTTTGAAAGGATTCCAATAGGATACAACTTGATATTTCAAAATCCTGTTTAGTTTGAATTTTTTTCGTTTTAAGAAAGACAAAATAACAAACAATTTTTTTAATGAAAACCAAATTTGTTCAAACAACCACTAATTTGTAACTGTTAGCCCTTTAAGTAGCTCTGGTGTCATATTCCCGCTTATCCACCCTTCATTTTTCCGCTGTTCCGCTCTTTTGTCGTTTGCGCTTGGCTAATCCTTCGTTTTCCTGCATTTTAATGAGCATCTTGTACAATTAGCGCCGGCGTTGTTTTTCTAATAAGGCCTAATTGCCTGTGGCGACATCAGCCAAACGAAGTGGTCGCAATTACCAACTCTTTAAGCCATTCACGCATAATTTTTTTTTTAAACCAAAGTTCTAAAATAAATTTTTAAATACTAAACATACAACTTACCTGCCTGATTTATTTTAGTATGAACCACGCCCGAGAAAATTATATATCACATAAACATTACACACAAATATTTGTTTCAATATAATAAATAAACACCCAGTGTGAAGCCGTTTGGTATCATCTCTCGACACAGTAAGACCCACAGTGTGCGCGGCAGCGCTTTATCCTCCAACAATTTCCTTCGTTTTCCTTCGCGTGCTTCTCGTTCCTAGCCGCTTCGCAAAGCTTCGTTTCGTTTCGACTATCGACCGCATTCACAGAACTCACGCTGTGTTTCTGTCGCACTCAATAAACCTGCATCAATCCGTTTGCGTTCATTTGACGTTCATGGTGTCGCTAGTATCGCGCCGCCCACCCGTGCGCGGCGGCACGCACTCACGCCGGCCAGTCCGCACGGAACGAACGAGCACGTCGGGGGATCTGCACTCCCTTTTCTCGCCTGTTTCTAGCCCTCGCTCTCAACTCAGTACCTTTCAATCTCCGTGTGTGTGCGACAACAATTCACGAAAACTTTGTGAAAACTATATTATTGCAATAAAACTTCATACAAAAAACAAGCAAATTTTGAAATCCGGCGAGAAAAACTTGCGCAAAAGTTGCAAACTCACGTAAGGTAAGACAAATATTTATCTCAGTGCTTGTAACTATTGCTTTTCTTTAAATCTTGCTCAATTAGACGCTGCTTCATTTAATCCTTCGCATGTGGTTTTTGTTTCAATTTTGGTTTGGCAGTATTTCGTAGATTATTTCATTGTCGGCGTTTCGTTCGCTCTTGGCGGATGTCGTGCGGAATCAACTGGTTCATGGGGGCAGTGATTCGCGAGCGGCGGCGGCGGCAACGGTGGTGGCGGCGACCGACGGCGGGGATCGATAGGCGCGCGTACACGGTCGCCCTGCGCCCTCCGCCACCCTCTACCCGAAACTCGACGCAAGTCGCACAATGACCGAGGATCGAAGGAAACCGTGGAAAATCGCGAAAACGTTAAGAAGCGCGGCGCGCTATTATCGAGGAGACAAAAGTGATGCTTGAAACACATTGACACATGATAAGGGTTGGCTGAACGAGATTCGAGCATCGTGTTTCAGGATTTTTCCAAAGTCATTTAATATTTTTTTAATGCACATAGAATTAATTTACTTCAGCAGCCATTTTGATTGTAATCTAACGCCATTTTTAAAACCTCAGAAATAATTTATTCTCTCGCGTTACACCGAACAGAAAAAAAAACTAGGTCAAAAAAATTCTTTCAGTTTTAACTCCGTAGTAATTACAATATAGCCTAAAATAGTATCCGCACAAATTTAGTACCAAACCGCACAGATAGATATCGTTAGATGTGTTTTAGTTGGATGTCTTTTATTTACACTTGGTCGATGTTGATTAATGCGTTTGTATATTAAAATCATTCGTTTCTGTTGGCTTTTCTTTTATAGGTTAGCTATCGCGTGATACCGGCAAGCAAACCGCGCTCAACCACTCTCACCCCGTGCGCGCGCGTGTGTTGGAGAGCGAGCCGGCAAGATTTCTTCCGAGTGCGGCAAGTACTGCGGCCCGGCGACCGCAAACGGCCCCACCATTTCGTTCAGCAGCTTCCGGAACTCCTTCACCAGCAATGTCAATTACCTGAAGCGCCGGTTCAGCTCCGGGGATCTCTCCTCGGAGTGCGACGGCGATGAGTCGCAGGTGGATCCGTACACGAAGGCGCCGCCGGTGACCTCTCAACCTCAGGTACGTCAACGTTGCACATGAATCACAAACTTGGTTATGTTACACTTTGACAGCGTAGAGTACTTGTTTTCGTTTTGTATGAACTGAAAGCTTGTAGGTTAGTTTAGTAGCGTTTAACTAAGGTTATGTTACAACACAAAAACGACTTTTTTTCGTTGTTTTTAGATTAGGTTTTATGTTATGTTAAGTAGAGTCGTAGTAGGGTTTAATTGAGGTTATGTTTAATGTTTGCGTTTTGTAGTGATAAAGAAATATCCCATTTCCAATATTTCTTCTTTTTTTCTTGGTTACAAAAATATTACGTACCTATTCGTAAAGTTCACTTGTTTTCTGATTGACGCATAGCGACGCTACACTTATAACACACAGCGCGAGTGGATATTTCCCTGAAAATGTCCCCTGGGAATTTCCACTATATTGCTCAACACCGCCACCAAAACTTCCTCGTCGCACGTCATTCTCAGCGACGTTATTTCCAGCTAAATTCGATTGTAACTTGCGCGCCTCCGGTCCCCATCAAACACTTGTTGTTATATATTGCGTTCAATATCTAACAAAACGTATAACAGGATAACACAACACCAGGACAACGCTACGCCGTGCGATGATTATGAATACATGAATTTCCTGCAAATGAGGTGGGATAATATCAAACAATATGAAACTCAAACACGTACAAAACCACAATAAACTCACAACTAACACGACAGCCTCCAGTTACTAAACTAAATTACTCGGGATTAGATGCGACGTAGAGTGAAGCGAAATGATGAAAATTTAAATTTAAACGCGGCATCGGCGTGTGTAGAAGTGAAGGCGCCGGGATACAATTGAATCGTTTGCGCTCGTAAAATTCCATCAGGATATTCGCAGCGACGAAGGGCGAGAGTATAAATAACGACGCGCGATGATGACGCCAATAATGCCAAAGATGCCGACGATGTTGAACCGTTAAAATCTAGGATTGTCGAGAATTCAGAGAATTCTATGCAATATAATATCGGGATAAACTTAACCCTCCAACTTCAATTTCCTCCCCACATTTATACAACTCATTTTCACTTGAACGCACTGTATGTACAGTTATTTTATTAAATACTGTGTTATTTCTCAGGCACCTTCATCCTCATCGTCTGTGCAGTCAATGGCGCCTCCGGCGGTTCAGCGGCGAGTCAAAGTGGTTCCGCCTCAACTGGAGGACCACCTAGCACTGGACCTGTGGGAGGATCAACCGGTGGCTCTTCCGGTGACTTATCGCTGAATCTACGCGGTGGCTCCAAAACAACAAGCGCACCTAGCTCACCGGCAAAATCACGCGAATCACTCCTTCAGCGTGTGCAGTCATTGACAGGTCAAGCACGTGATCAAGGAGCATCAATTCTCGGCTCGGCGGTGTCAAGCGCCAGTCGTATTACTTCATCGGTTACTTCCGGTCGCCATCTCACGCTACTCGTCATCGACGATCAAAACACCGATTGGTCAAAGTACTATCGCGGAAAGAAGATCGGAGATTATGATGTACGCGTTGAACAGGCAGAGTTTAAAGAGATTAACGTCACTGCGAATGCAGATGGCGCTACTGTTTCCATGGCGGTTTACAGAGGCGGTACCAGGGTGGGGCGATCATTTAGACCTGACTTCTTATTGGTAAGTTAATTACGAAAACATTTAACAAAGTTTATTACAACATTAGAACATAATTTACACATGCGCTTCACCGACAGATGGCGTCACTAGTTTTGTAATTGTTATTATAGGTTAGACAAAATCTGAAGGACGCCGGCGAAGATTACAAGAAGCTACTGCTGGCGTTGAAATTCGGCGGTGTACCAAGCATTAACAACATAAACGCCATCTACAACTTCCAGGTGAGTCGCCAGTTTGATCGCTCGCACGTAACAACCACATTAACCCTACATATAAAACATAAAAATACTTAGTGTTACTTAGGCGCGACAATAAATACAGTTAAAATGCGAAAACTGTCACTACACACTAATAATTACAACTACACAATATAATACTATCATTGATTAAACGATTAATTCCTAACTACGCAACTAAACACATTGTATATCAGTCTATGTACAATATTTTTGTTTTTAGTTGTAAATTTTTGGTTTAATACCTCAACAGTTAGGCTATTCGTGTATTGATGGCGCTGCAGGTGGCTACTAGATAAATCTGTAATGTTTGGTTATGTGATTCACAGGATAAGCCGTGGGTGTTCGGCCATCTTGTGCAGCTGCAGCGTCGTCTCGGCAAGGAAGCGTTCCCGCTCATTGACCAGACCTTCTATCCGGATCATCGCGAAATGGTGAGTACGCCTTTTTGGGCCATGTCCACTTCTTGCGTACATATTGATGCTGCGATTGCTGTGCTTGTAAAGCTGTGGGATGTTCCACTGCGGTAGCTGTTGGCACCGCCTTCGGTTCGTAGTGCATTACGGTGGAATTACGTGTGCATGTTGTCAGTGCCAAATTACGGGACCATATACATTGTTTCTTGGAGTTGCGCAAACAAATTCCCTAAAATAATCAACAGGTTATTTATGATTTAAGCGTTATATTATTAACTGACTTCATTCCGTTGACAATCCTTCTTTTTATCTGGCAACCACGTGTCCCAGTTGCAGGCGTCTTTTGTTCTGGCGCAGCGGCCTCTCTGAGTAGATTGCGATTTCGGACAAAATTTAATTTCGCATGTGCACCCTTGTCTGTACATGAGTTTCAGTCCTTTGCGTTGGCGTCTTGTAAGGTCGTCCCATTTCTCAGCCATGTCGCAGAGACCAATACGTGCCTGCAATGTGACAACACGTCCACTAATAGCGTAGACTTTGTTCACTTCTAATCGTGTGCCACACATTGAGTCGTCTCGGGCGGTCACAAGGCGACCGAATTTAAGGGCGACGTATGCTTTCTCCGACATCTTGTATTCCTTGCGAATTTTTATTTTGTACTCGCGCGTTTCGTTTGTCAGCGTTTCACGCTTAACACGCGCGAGGATAACTAAAAAAAAAGAAAAAAAAATTAAAAACTAATTTTAAACTTTTTATTAAACAGAAATATCACTGAAAGTTACAAATATTGCTTTCTGGCGTTTTTCTATACTTGACCATATGCAACCAGTTATACAAGTGTATTTATTCCGTTTGTTAAAATTACAAAGCTAATGTTACAGTTTTAACAAGCAATTAAACTTCAATGTATGAAACCAATTAAAATATTGTTTAAACATTTGATCGAGAAATTCAATGTACAAATAATTTTTATATGCATTTCGTGTTAGGAATGTTTAAATAGGTTTAAAATTGTTTAATTTTCAATTTTTTGTCCGCAATTAGCCATTGGTGAATATTTGTTTAATAATTATGTAAACAGGGTTTTCCGCGTGTTTCCAACGTGTGTAAACCATGCGAGCAATTACGAAACCGCCTCTTTCGTGTCGCATTAGCGCCGAGTTTGCGTTTTCCGAGCAAATCGAGTTTCAATGGCGGCGTACAGCATTAGAAAACGCCCGCAAACGATGAGCAAACAGTAAAACGTTTGAAAACGGTTAGAAAACGTCGCGGTCGTGTTTGACTGAATTAAACACTCGCAAACAGCTAGAAAATTTGCGCAGTTATTCTCGCATTCAAAAATTCACTAAGCAGACGTAAACAAAAATATTAAAAACATAAAATTTGATTAACGAATCACGAGTTTGGCTGTTTTAAAGCATTTTTGTGTGTGGATTGATTGAGTTATGACGTAATTATTCTGTCGATTGAAGTTTGTGTCCTGGTATGGCTGCTGGCCACTCGCGTTATTCATAAATTTGTGCAGCGCGTGTAAATTTATCGATTGCTCGATGCCGGCGCGCGGATATTCGAGTTTTGCGCATTCAGTGTGCGCGCGTGCCGATTCCTTTTTGGCAGGATGACAAAATTCTGCCGGCCCGGCCCACGCAAACATAATAAAGTCATGAAAACCTGCAATGTGCATATATTGCATCACAATGCTTAAATTCGCACTCATCAAAATGCCTCGCATAACTGGTTTGTAAAAAAATTATTTTTGCATTTAAATTTTAAAAGTCTAATTAGGGACTTACCAAAGTCTGCGGAACATAAATGTTGTTGCGGATGTCGTGGCTGACAACTGCACGCCTCGCCACGGTCGACGCATGCCTGCAGGAAGAATATTATCCCCAGGACGAAGAATAAACCAACTCGGCGCATTTTTTGTTGTTTTTTCTTCCCCCGAGTTTAAATTACCTTGGATTTTTCGTAATTTTAATTAAACTCTGAAAATTAAAAAATAAGTAAATATTTAACATTTTTAAGCATATTTAACAAAAGAAAATTAATTTATAAATTATTTTGATACTGCTAGCTAGTTTAAATAAAAACTAAAATTATAGTAGCCTTGTGTGATAATCCATAATTACACATTACAAATTGTAGTAATTAACAATTCATGTTAATGATTGTGTCGTGCTAATGTGCGTGGCGTGCGATTGTTCCACGTCGCAGTATCGTGTCCGAGTGCGTGCACATTTCACATTTCATATATATGTTTTCTCATACGTGTTTATTATGCCTGTTATTATCCTATTTCTTGCGCTTTGGTCGTCAATAAATGCGTTCAAATGTGTATTGTTAGTGCGAATCGATCGCTGGAATTTCCGTAAACTTCAATACACATCAAAACAAGTTACATTAAACGAACGCAAATGGATTCAAGAAAATGTTAAATAAATGGTTATTAAACGTGACTTCAGTAACCACTAAAGGATTTCATTGAACAACAACAAAATTTAATTGATTTTTGTAAGAAATAAAAGAGTTATTATTAATTCATGGACCACACGCTGCGAAATAAAAAGTGTTTGGAATATTCAACAATTACTCTCGTGCTGTATTGAAGTTCTGATCAATTACACATATTAAACTTGTAGTTGATTAATTAATAAAGCGTTTCGTTGGTTTGGCGATGAGAAAATACAGTTGAATGATCGATCACACACGTTGTGACAAGACAGATGTGATAACATAATTGTTTTAATCGTGTTCAAATAACACCTAATACAAATTTATACTCAAAACTAGCTTTTCCCGCGATTTCGTCCCTGTAGTGCTTAATAAAAATGTAATTCGTTTTTACTCTCTTGTTCTAGACATAGTCTATGTCAATTCTATCAATAAGATTCGCTACTTTATTTTAAAGAAATTAATTATTTAAAGAATTGCTAATAATGCACTTCAGCGCGCCATCTCGGATTCAATTATTTAACTATAACTATGATTGAATCTCAATGCCAACTTTTATCCTATAGAAAAATGGTGTCTTTAGGGCTTTCCCGGCAATTGAGCGAATTTTTCTCGCCGTAAAAACCATCCTTGGACTTTAACGAACATTTAAAAAAAGAATTCGCCAAATTAGTCTAGGCGTTGTTGAGTTATGCGCTTTCCAACAAATTTTATGATTCATTTTTATATTATAGATGAATGTTTAAGTATATTTAACATCTGTTTTTAAACACTCAATATAAATTTTTTCTTTCGCTCAAACCTCAACTTGTCCTCTTTAATATGTATTACTACATTACTCCAGTACAAGTACTTCATACTCTTTCATGTCTTCGCATGCTGTGCGAGGTGATGCTAACGAGTGGGTTACGTGCAGGGTCACCTTTTGCATAAATCGCGAATTTATTACCGCAATACACTTATTGAAAACACCGCATGTGTCATTGCGAGACGCGAGCGAGAACATTAAAAATTATGCAAGCACAAGTTCAAAGTCTAGACTTCAAGACGCTGCGACCGCAAATATCCTTAGTTTTATTAGTATCTGCCGTGCAAGACATAAAATCATAATATAAACACAAATAATTAGCGCATATTTGGTTATATTTACAAATTATCTGCATTGCACTGCATTGCTGCAACCCAACAAACACATTTTTAACGTAAATACAAATAAAAATCATTTAATAAATCAACATCGTAGTTCCAGCCGAAAGAGATATATCAACGTCGATGGCCTTCCTGTTTTTACAGCCGTGTTATTTATTATTGCGCATTTTTTGTTTTGGTTGATTTTGTCATCGCAATTCGCAATTTATCGACGCACTGATGTGTGAACAATCGAAACAATTTGGGTGCGTGCTTTTTTTCTGTGGCTCAAAACCAAAGATTCAAGATGACAAGTTGACATGCAAAACAGTTGATTTTGTTTCATGCATTGCTCACAGCGCACGCATTCAGTTTAATTAATTTATTTAATTGGCGAAAACGCAATTCGAGTGCAAGCGCGCTCGAGCACGCAAAGCAGCGCTTCCAATAAATCATCGGGCGACATTAATTATTTCGACTTTATTTCGCTTTCAATTGAAGAGTTGACGCGTTAAAGTGTCAAAATAATTTAATAAAAACGTAACCCAAAAACGAAAACTTTGCCTAAGAGTAGTATTTCAGTCGCCATCTTAGTAATACATAAAATATGAGTACATGCGTCTATCTAAGTACACCTATGAGTGAATAATTAAGCAGTATCTAATTAACACGCTAATGGAGTGATTAAAATGCGACCGCGTTGACACCATCGCTAGTAGAATATATGAGTGGCTTACTTTGTCCTAATTACCTACGAGTTTATGTACTGACAATATTACATATGTAGTATATACAGTCAGCGAGTAAATACGAGTCATATTTAGATTTTGGGAAGAGCGCGCTGGATTCACTGATTCTGCATTCTGCGGTTTGCACCGCTTACACACAGATATGCAAATTTTGCGGAATTGAGTCAATGTCTTGCTGGTCACAGTCAGAGTCACAGTCACGCTTCATGAATAATTATTTATACGCGTAAACATTATCAATATGGTTACAACAAATTTTATGAATGAATGAATAATTTATATTAAGTAATAAAACCACAAATTGGAACTAATCATTATAATCATTACTTAAGTATTATATAATACAAAATAATCAATTTTATCAGCTATTAGCTTTTGCCCTATTAGTTTTTAATAATAATATAATTCGTTTTTATTCTTTTGTTCTAAACATAGTATGTGTCAATTCTATCAATAAGTTTCGCTATTTTATTTTAAAGAAATTAATTATATAAATAGTTGCTAATAATGTAACATATGTAACATAACTATGTTATACTTCAGCGCGCCATCTCGGATTCAACTATTTAACTATAACTATGATTAAATCCCAATGCCCACTTTTATCCTATAGAAAAGGGCTGTCTTTAGGGTTTCCCCGGCAATTATTCGAATTTTCCTTGCTGCAAAAACCATCCTTGGACTTTAACAAACACTTTAAAAATAGAATTGGCCAAATTAGTCTAGGCGTTATTGAGTTATGCGCTTACCAACAGATTTTGCGATTAATTTTTTATACTATAGACACCATTTTGATAGCTATCAATTTTTGTTTGTTAACTTAGTATCCTACTTTAATGATGCAGGTTGTAAATATTGATGATGAATCCAAACGCGAATATTGCATAAATAAATAATGAATGAATAAACAGGGGTGCGTAGATGTGTATAAATTCGTATGAGTCATGATTCACGGGCGTGATTGTGATTAAAACCGTTTTATTCGTGTTGCGTTTACATTTTTCAGCTTAGTCCAACCTTTTTTTTTATTATTTCAAGACCACGTATTAAAATTTGCATAAAATCACACAAGTATTATTTATATAGGCATGAATTCTTTGAGATCATCATGATTCAATTATTAATCATACATATTTTTTATTATCTTATTATTGATTATATTACTAGTAAATAACTGATATTATATTTTATGTTACTGATATCATAGTAACAGTAAAAAGTAAAAGTTTAAAATTCAGTTAATAGCTAATTCCAGTTAATAATAAATTCAACAGTTGCATGACAGTGAAAGTACTAATTTAATTAATTATCTAGTTGCGTTTGTTTCATTTCACTGCGTATACATTATTAATTAATGAATATTGTATTTCGTGTGAACATGGTGTACAATGCATAATAAAATTAATGCTTGGGGAGTTTTGATTAATTGTTTCCTAAAAGCTACAAGCAATAAACAATTATAATATTATCTCATAGTTAATAATTAACTTTAAAAAAAGTAAACTACGCCATACTGCTAACACCACCACGACTTAAATATAATAAAGTGACTTAAGTTACTTTACTAAATTTGGACAATTCATTAATTTCGACATTTTCAAAATTCAAGACAAATATAGACATAGATTTAAAAATCAATACAAAGCGGTTGACGTATGAAAGTTTTTACTTAAGCCAGTTACCTGCACTTATACAACGTAATAAGTTTAAATGTTTATATGGCTTGAGGCCAAAAGTTAAAAGTTTAAACACTATAAGAATTTAAAATTTATTGATCGTTTGATCTGGCGTTGGTTTGACCTTGCGGCGACGCGTAAGTTTGCACAAATTGTGCGTACGACGTAATAGAACAAGCCAGTCGACATAAATCACATAAACCACAGGTTTTACATTTCAAAAAGTGATAATACTCGTAAAGTCGAGACATAAATATGAAATTGTTTAAAACTGTGGTGAGGATAAACCAAGAAAGCGAAGGTTATGAAAATTGACAAAGTTTTAATAATATTTGTGATGCATATGTGGCCTGAGAAGATAATTTAGCTTTTTTAATTATTTTCTTAATATGTAGTTCTTGAAAAGAATGAGCAAAGAAAGAGCAATAAACAATTTATATTTCAAGTGACTTAAATTACTCATTTCGGAAATATTCCGAAGTAAATTTGCAAATCGTTCAATTCCCCTGTACCTACGCAATGTTTGCGCATGTATTCTCTGGAATTTGTTCGACTTACTAAACTTAAGCCTTTGATTTGTTTATTTATTTATCAGTCTGGGATCTGCTGACGGTTCTTTACTCACTTCACATTATTTCTCTTTACTGTAGCCGCGCGCATAATAACAATTATTAAGTGTTTCAAATTCGCCGAATTGTGAAACAAAATTTCAATTTTCTCATTTTATTTGAAGTCTAGTCTGAAATTACATATTTGAAATTATACATAGAACTAAATATCAATGCATTTATGATTTCTTGAAAATTCGTTTTCCTTCTGGAATCAAACAGGAAATGAAGTCATAGCTGTGTGCGCATGTGTGTTGTGTTTCGCGCCTACACCGTCCACGCTTGGTTAACTCGTTAATTCCGCGTCGACGCTCGCGAAACGCGTCACGTTTATAACGTCATCGTTCTCAATATTAATCTTCATCTCTAGAATAAATTCATCTCGAAAACAATTCAAAGAAAACACATTTTCTCCAAAATCGGCATTAAAATTAAACCTAAAACACTCTATATATATTTCCGGTAGTGACAATATTCTTCACCTTTAAGTTCAACTTTACTCTAACTCAAATGTCGACGCTCACGACTTGTGAGAACTTTTAGAAACAATAAAATATTTAAAATTTCACCAAAAGAAAAGCACATAAATATTGCCAACGCCAAGCGAACAAACAACAAAGTTCGTGACGGTCGTGAGAATGAAAACGAAAATAAAAATAAAACAAAAATTCAGTCATGCACGCCGTAACCACCATAGCTCAATAGATAACAATATAAAAAGTGAGGCGACACCTACAGTAAAAATTCCATTCAAATGACATTCGACTAGATCTCGAATGAAATGTAATAACACGACGAGTACCTACTAGTAATAGCTAATAATTTATTCGAGGTGGAATCACTTGAAGCGTTTGAATCGAATGTGATACTGATACATATAATTTATTTCCTTGTGTTATAAAATTAAAGCGTTTTTTTTTTACTTTTAGCTTTAACATGAATGCATTCTACTATTTTTTGTAGGTGTTGTGCTGTAGCTGAATTGCGTGTGCGTACTGCGTTTCATTTTATTTTTTATTACAGTTTATGCATTGTCGTCTTGTCGCATTGTGTGCTACGTAATAAATTTATAATATTGGTTTTAACGACAATAATAGTAACCTAGATATAATTACGTAAGCCTATGCTGTAATATATAACATATATTATTGAATCTTTTAAAATCAAATATAAAAATTAATCACAAAATGTGTTAGTAAGCGCATAACTCAACAACGCCAAGATCAATTTGGCCAATTCTTTTTTAAAATGTCCGTTAAAGTCCCAGGAAGGTTTTTACGGCGAGAAAAAGTCGAAAAATTGCCGGGAAAACCCTAAAGACAGCCCTTTTCTATAGGATAAAAGTTGGCATTGAGATTCAATTATAGCTATAGTTAAATAGTTGAATCCGAGATGGCGCCCTGAAGTGCATTATTAGCAATTCTTTTATGCATAATTTCTTTAAAATAAAATTACGAATCTTATTGATAGAATTGACACATACTATGCCTGGACAAGAGAGTAAAAACAAATTACATTTTTATTAAACACTACTGAGACGAAGTCTCGGGCAACAACTAGTTCGATTAGAAAATTAAATTTTTAAATTGAAAATATAAAAAGAAACAAAAAATAAAAAACTGAAAAATTTACATATTTACATGTGCTTTGATTCCTTGAATAAATTCACACTTCGCTTGCTGAGTCCAAGTTATTTAAACTAATTTGCGTTAACTTGTGTTGAGTGCCAAGTCGTCGCTAATTATATAAGCTGCAAGCTGCATAATTAATTGCGCAACTTGCGCTCTTTGGCGATTTGCAAATTATTCACTTTCTAAGGCAATTGGCTCGCATTTCAAGTTCAAACTCGACTTCAACATCTTCATCAACTGCATTTTCATGTTTTTACGTTTTTTAAAGAAGAGTGGATTTGAGAAACTATTTGCACTTATTAGACATTCAGGTATTTCAACGTCGGGAATGAATTGATACCACTAATTACTCTTTGGAATTTTATAAAAGTGCAGCGCGCGTTCTTCGCGACAAGTTAATTTGACTTCGACTTTATTGAACGCAGTAAGATGACGAGTTTTTACTACTGAAGGTTATGAATCAGTTGAAGTATTGATATCGAACTGCTTAATTAAAATGTTAGAGAATCGTGAGTCGTAAATTTTTTATTTCCTTCCATTTCATTTCATCACTTGATTACTTTATTACCTTCTATGGATGTGTCTTTAGAAGCAAATTATTAAGATTAAAAATGTTTAAATTAATAAACTTTTTTCTTTTTGTTGTTAATCATAAATTTTGTTTTGTATCCGACACTTTTATTGTTTATTATTTGAGCTTTTTGTGAGATTTATGATTGTTATAGCCATCAAAAGTTTTTAAGCACGTTGAACAATCTTCAATGCTCAAAGTTGACAAAGTTTAACAGTTTCGTGGAGTTTTGACAAAGTTTTAGCCTCAAGTCTGCAATATGCCATAAATTCTTTAGAGAAAACACGAACTCGCGACAAATTTCTGATGGTGGCAATTCGTGTTTCAAAATTTATCACAATTATATTTTAAAATTTATTTAAATGTTTCCTCATAAATACTTGAATAAAACAACTAATAATACATGGCTATATATCAGTTTGGGATGTATGGGAATTTGCTCGAGTTTGATAGTTCGAAACACGCAAGGCGGCTGAACATAAAATTAATTGCACAACGCGAACGCGCCTCGAAAACCACACAAAACAATAATGTTCGAAATGCATCAATACAAATCAATATACATCACTTTACATCACATATTCTATTTCGAGCAAAGCACTTTGCATTTATACTAACACGCCGGACACGAATATTAGATGAGCTAATATCTACGCCTTATAAAATGCTAGCATCGCTAAAGCACTCTAAATATATATTTTTTTATGGCGATATTGAATAAATTATATCAATAGTGTGATTTTGCGTAGTGTGACATCTATAATATAAAAATAAATCGCAAAATATGTTGGTAAGCGCATAACTCAACAACGCCTAGACTAATTTGACCAATTCTTGTTTTAAAATGTTCGTTGAAGACCAAGGAAGGTTTTTACCGCGAGAAAAATTCGAATTATTGCTGGGAAAACCCTAAAGACAGCCCTTTACTACAGGATAAAAGTTGGCAATGAGATTCAATCACAGTTATAGTTAAATAGTTTAATCCGAGATGGCGCGCTGAAGTGCTTTATAAGCTATTCTTTATATAATTAGTTTCTTTAAAATAAAATTGCGAATCTTATTGATAGAATTGACACATACCTACTATGCCTAGAACAAAAGAGTAAAAACGAATTACATTTTTATTAAACACTACCGGGACGAAGTCGCGGGGAAAAGCTAATACATAAATATAACCTATAAATGACCATTTTTATTATTTTTCTCATATTAAATCAAAAAATGTTTAAATTTCCGTTGAAATTTTTATTTCCTGCAAATTTTCTAAAATTTCGATTTTATTATGCACTTAATAAGGTTTCTAAATTTTTAAATTAACATAATTTGCATTGAAAACAAGATTAGATTATTTTGTTACAATTTGTTTGATGTAATTCCGTTTGAATTTATTTTCTTGAGTTCCGTGTGCAATTCCTAGTTCTTTCTGTTCACGAGAGTGTGAAAACGAATGAAAGTTAGCGTGCGCACAGCGCATTTACGTAAGATTTATGTTTAATAACGTTTAATAATGCGCCGATGTGCGAATGAATATGGTCGCCGACTTTGGCGAAATGTGGGAGAAATGTGCAATTTTGCAAACGCGCCGACATTGTCTTGCATTACGCGGCACGCGACTTTCTATCGGCGCACACTTTTCACAATTCAAGTGAATTGAATTGCACTCGCTTCTCACAATTTTAACGCTGTGTTAACTTTATAAATCTCATTTCAAACTTATATCAAGGCAAATAACACCTTAACCTTCTTTTATTGCTCAAAGAGTTTTAAACGCGCTGAAAATATGAAAATAGATTGTTTACAGTAAAATTAGTTAAAAATAAGAATGATTTATGCTTAAACAAATCAAAATAGTAATGGTAATCGTTTCCATTAGTGATGTATGGATTGGTCACCTTGAAATTGTACTAAAATTGATTTTTACAAACTTGAACGACACAAGTAAACTCAATTAACTCTACTGAAAGCTAGCTAATATTAAGAAAATAAGCATAATGTCATTGAATTTCGCACAAATTGCATTTTTATTGAAGTGATTGTGCACAGCCTTTCATTGCTTAACTTTCATTCTGTTTTCTCGGTAAGTCAAGTCATCATGTCATACGATCCGATTGTAAATTAATTGCGGAATGGTTCTGGAAAGCATTGTGAAATTTGCCGTTCGTCGTGATTTTATTCGCGCATTCACAGTAATCTTTACAAACGTTCAAACAAACACTCAATAAAACTGAATGTTTGTTCAGCATAAATAAATAAACGACACTTTTCCTTGCAGTATTTGATAAAATTATTTATTCTTAGTCAGAAATTCTAGAAATACTTACTTTTTTAATTTAGAAGAATATTTTCACGATGCACAGAAATATTTTGATATCACGAATTCAACACACAAACTTTAATTGGTTTTAATTTTTAAAAATGATCGTTTCGCGCTCGAATTAATTGCGGCGACAATATATTATCGCTGAAAACGCGCACGTTGCGAACGCGCGGCGCACGCTTAAGTAGGTTAGACTTAACGCGACTTAACTCACTTTACTTGACTTTACTCGGCGACGCTCGGATCCTAAGCCCAGCGCGAATCGAAACGAACTGAACGCGTCAGCATGGCGCGCGTGCATAAATATGAAACGGGCCGAAAATATAAGCGCGGTAAGCAAAATACAACAAACGACTTTTAAGTAGGAGCATGTCGAAGTCAACATTGAGAATTTATTTCGTTCCGAACAATATCTAAAACTATAAACAATATAAAATGAATAGCTTTAAAAAGATTATATTATTATTCGCTAGATGGCATTACCTAATAATTTTATTATTTTGTTTCAGATTACAGCATCACGTTTTCCATGCGTAATCAAAATAGGTCACGCCCATGGAGGACTCGGCAAGGTCAAAGTCGACAACATCAATGACTTCCAAGATATGGCGTCTGTCGTGGCAGTAGCACAGAGCTACTGCACTGTGGAACCCTACATTGACTCCAAGTATGATATCCACGTACAGAAAGTGGGTAATAATTACAAGGCATTCATGCGCAAGTCAATCTCTGGCTGCTGGAAAACCAACACCGGTTCAGCCATGTTGGAACAGATTACAATGCCGGAGCGTTACCGCACGTGGGTAGATGAAGTATCAGATCTCTTCGGAGGGTTAGAAATCTGTGCCCTGGAAGTAGTGGTTGGAAAAGACGGACGCGAGTATATTATCGAAGTGAATGACAGTGCGTTGACTCTTCTGGGCGATACGCAGGAAGAGGATCGAAGGCATATTGCTGATTTGGTTGTGGCTCGCATGCAGGCTATTTGCAGGCCCAAAGTTGGTGAGGAAATGGGATCTGAAGAACCAGCACCACCTCCGGTTGGACCAAGAGGTATTCTTGGTAGTTTGACGAGTTTGACCAGTACTGGTTCTGGTGCGTCGCATCCACCATCTGAACCCCCACCACTACCGCCATCTGGGGAGCATCCGTCGTTGTCAAGTGTTGGTCGGCGAGACAGTCAGGGTAAATTTTATTTTTAGTTTATTTTAGGTTTTCTGAATGATTAATTTTTTTTTTGTGTTTAGTATCACAAACAAGTCAGATTAGCGGAACCGGTGCTCCGCCCACTGGACGATTACCGGAAACTCCACCACGACCGGGCTTCCAACGGCAGGGCAGTCAGAGCCAGGCGGTACCTGAGGATTCAGAGGACACGATGAAGAACTTGAGGAAAACATTCGCCGGTATTTTCGGGGATATGTAAACAATTAAAGAAAAAACAAAATGGCAGCAAACCACAAATTGAAACAAAATGGCGTTAAATCAGTCAAATGTCAATAGGAACAAAATAATACCAAAAAAATCAAAAACATACAGATAAACATGCGACAGGTGAAAATATTTTATCTATGATAAAGTCCCAACATCATTTGAAGGTCAAAGGACGACGCTGTGAGTACTCGCACCTCTCAGTAGACTAATTAGTTTTAATGACTCTACTCGAGAGAAATATAAAAGCCGTACTAATGATGCTAATTAAAAGAGGAAGATGGCGTTAATGTCGGACATTTTGTTGTTTGCTGCCGTACAACTCGTTACTTGACAGTTGACAGTTAACATCATTCAATCAACACGCTCCATTTTAAACTAATAACTACTAATATAACGATGCAATAAAGATGAAGAAGTTGATTGATAAGTGAAGAAGACAAAATTAGGAATTAACACGCGTTGCATAACGGAAAAAAGAGGAAACCATTACACAAACATGCAAAACATTCACAACGTTAAATTGGTGTCAAATGTTTTGGCACACAGGTTTGCACGTTTTGACAGTTATATAAAGACATGTTATAACCACTGCCTATGGCCGGGTGTTTCGCCATTTTGCAAAACAAAGCAAAGCAAAATCCACTCAGACGCGATTGTTTCATATCGGTAAAGAAGATTTCTGTAAAAATGTCAAAAAGACAAGAGTTGCGTTTTGTTTTGTTTTGTGCAATGAGTCGTAACACCTTTGTTATTATGTTAGACGAATAGTTGTTAACGAAACAATAATAAGTAAGTACGTGTACGTTATATACATTAAAAATTACTATACATACTATACATATGCATATACATACATACATAATAGGTATATATACACAAAAAACATTTTAAACAAATTTTGAAATTTGAACAATTTTCAAAAACAAAACCAAAAAAAAAAACAAGAGGAATATTATTAAGTCGATGTTGAGTATGTGTAGAGACAGATTGCACCATGTGTTAATTAATGCTCACACGATTAGCGTACAGCCGACGATGCACGATGAATGTATGTATGTGATGCGCTAGTCGTCATCAGATGGCGTTAAAGTGCGTCGTCGCTCAACTGGCACCATAACGCACTTGATTTATAACCACAAAGATAAGGAATGAAATAGATACAGCCTATACTAAACAAATGTCTTCTAACATAACCAACAACCTAACCTATTAATCAGTCTGTGTCATATTATTAAGCCAAACGCAACCAAAAACCAGAACAAATGACAACACAACATATATGTATATGTATAAGAGTGAAACTAATACAAAAAAAATGTCTGTCTTCTCAAACTCTCTTCACTGTATTTAAATCTTCTTCTCTGTATGTAAACGTAATCGTAAATGCAAATAACGAACGATGCTAAACAATGACGTCACAAACAAATATGTAAAATGGACAATATTTAAAATGTATTCAAATGAAGATGATGACACACACAAGATGGCGACTTGCAGATGATATAAATATTAAATGTGACACATATGTTTGACATTTGAAGCCGAGTCGAGATGCATCGAGATTGATTTATGCAACGAAAAAACTCGTTTAGAAAAATGACATGCGACACCTCAGAGTCGATACTAATACAGTTTTCTTGAGATTGAGGATAATAATATTGGCATTTTAAACAAACTATAAACAAACAAAAAAGACGAGTAGATTTTTCATTATACATAGAAAAAGAAAACAGTTTTGATGATATTGATATAAATATTGATGAGAATACAACCAAATAACGATGTACTCGAGCATAGGCTACCGTTAGTTAATATTATTATCATATTATCAATGAATTATGTACTTTAAGTAGGTGATGTAGAAAGTGCGCGACGTCAAAGTCAAAATGTCAAAAATTGTTATGTTATGTTAGGTTAAATATTGTTACTTCACAGTTGACTAATTTTAAGGTTAAGTTATGTTGCGCTACTAAAACTCACTCGAGCAACTGCGGATCGTTTGGGATTTTTGTACCCGTTAAGTAAATTCTCTATAAAAACTAAAGATGGCGTTGGTTACGACGATTGACAGCTGTAAATGTCACTGAATGTAATATATTCCCGCTTGTAGCTTTACATACTAGCGCATGAAGTAAGAATGTAAATGTACCAGCAAAGCTTATGTAATTTGCTTCTAGAGGGCAGCACTACTACTAAACTAACCAAAACTGTACATTATAAGAATTATTTAAATAATAATTAATTTATCTTTGTCTTTGTTAACTTGAAAGGTCTAAAATGTAAAACGTCATATCAGGTTATGTGTTATATACGTAATGAGGTTATGATTGTTTTGACAGGTGTCTTGACACTTGTCTGACAGACTTTGACGTGGGGATGCGCACGACAAGGTTGTTTAGCTCTCCCAGCTTGCGGATATTACGTTTCAAGCATATTGTATAGCGTTAATAATGAAATAACAAATAACATTAATAAGATTAGTATTATGAAGCAAACAGCAAACAAAAATAAATTACAACAAAAACGAAATACTGATTAAATGGAAAATACTATGATAATATTAATATTAATAAAAATCATCAATATAAAAGCAAATTTATCGAGTATTATGACGATTCCTACATGGATTGTTTAAGAAGTTTTATATTATTACTATTATATAATTTTGAATGGGCTTGTGCTAAATTTTTATGGTTATGTTTATGTCCAATTGTTTAATAACCTTCTTGTCATTCTCAACTAAACAAAAGTTGTTTGTTTGTTGATTTGTTTTTTTTTTTCACATTCGCATTTTATTTATTATTATGCGTTTGCAGAATTATTTGCACTGAAATTAATTTATATAAACATGATTCTAACAAAGGTAACAAAAATTTATTAATTAAGTTATTAAGTTGGACATCTTGATTGTGTTGCGTCTATTGTTCATATTCACACTTGAAAAGTAAAATTTAATTGCAATTGCGAAACTATCTACATACAATCTACGATTGTATTCATAAATTAATTATTTTTAATTGTTTTTTGTTTTATATCATATAGGCAACCAAACATACTTTAAATGTGTATGTTGGTTACCTATGTTAAACTTATATGTATTATTATGTTTTAATTTACTGTTATCACTCCACGTCGATAATGTTGCAGCACTGCATAGTGCATAGAACATTATGCAAACAAGTTGCCTAACCACCGCCACTCTTATCAGCATATCATATATGTGTAAACACATTTTCATTACCATGTCGTTTTTTAAGCGTTATTATTTTCAGAGTTGAACAATTTCAAGACTTTCGTTGTTTGTTTTCCGTCTCCGGCGCGAACTGTCGCAATACAAACACATAAACAAGCGGCAATTGTTTCGACTACGTGATAATAATGCCGGCATATTCAAATTGATACAGCTCGATAAGACGTGCGCGGTTTGGTGGACCGGATACTTACTTTATCAACTGTTTTCTGCCACATATAATTCATTGTAGTCACTCGTAGTGTCGACACAAGTGAAAAACAGTGAAACAATTAATTCGGACAATATCTATGGAGAGATAGATTTGCTGTGTCTTTGTTTGTAGTGTAATATAATCAATTTATTCATTGTAGGCGTGCGATTGTGATTAAGCTTATCGGCAATATTTGGTGGAGGTGTCATGGCGGTGGCTTCCACACCGCGTCGACGCCGCATTCGTCAACTTGAGCACTGTAATCCGGCAGTGTTCGGCAACGTGTGTCTCACGCCCTATCAAGACCTGCGTAACCTACACGAATTGCACTTTGTCAATGTCAAGATGGCTGCATCATCGGACCTAACCTCAATTGACTCGTTCAAAAATCAAAATAAAAAACGTTTTCAATGGAATAATGGGCAAGCTATACTTTTGAAGAGCATCAAGCATGGTTTTGAACCAGCCAATTTCCAAAATAACAGAAAACAATTAAATTTCCACGATTGTATGGATTCCATTCAAATTGCAGAAAATAACAGTGCAAACACTTATGGAAAAGTAAACAATTGTGATGAATGTATGCAAAATAGTGGTTATGGACATGATATTCGTGAAAATGGCGATGGTGCGTGTTCTTGCAGTGATGATGAAGACTACCATCAAGATTACACTAACGATACTTATTACAACCTGGATTTTACTATGTTAGAAAAGCGTAGATGCTCCATATTGGTTGATCAACTTTTACTAGAAATTTACTCAACTTATCAAGCTGGAATAACCGATTATAATTCTGGCACGTCATGTAAGTCGGTGAAGTACGTGTGGATGGATCGTCATCAACTTGCATTCAAAGGTAATTTTTAAGAACATAAATATATTCATAGTCTTTTACTGTAAAGCACATTGTTAATGACGTAACTGTTGTCCGCTGGTGTGTAATTGCTAGTTTGGTTGCATATATTTTCCTTCAAGGTTAGGTTATGCTCGAGTAAATGTAGTTTCACCGTTTTAAATCGTTTTGCTTAGCATTAAAAGCGTTTTTAACGCTAAACAGAGCAGAAAATGTCGATCGGCTTTTGTTTTCTTAGAAACACAAGTTTGCCCCCCGATGATTATAGGTTTCAGTAATTTGCAAAGCTTTTGTTGTGATTTGTTGAGGTTATAATCGTGCAATTTTCCGCTCCTTTTGTGCATTTGCTGCGGGCTCAGTAATTTTCCACGCATATAAGAAAATTAAAATTAGTTATTGAACTGTAACCTATTTTCAAATACAGTGTGACCATAGTTTTCAAATTAAATATTTTCATTAAGTTTTATATTAATGCAATCAACACCAAATCTTATAAACGAAATCAATAGACTAGATTTGTGTATGTACTACGTAGGTATATAGTCGTAAAATGTAATATTCTATTTTGTTTACATGAATTTTATGAATTCATGATAAAAACAACTACCATGAGCCAAGACGTAGGCACATCTCAAAATAATGCCACAAAATGCATCGTAGCGCCATCTAGGCGCAAATAAATTAAATTAGAATCAAACGTTTGAACCAATCATTTTGTTATTATTATCGACTTTATTTATGCAAAATTGACCATCAATCATAGAGTTTACAAATATAGCTACTATCATATTATAATAATACTATAATATTATACTAGAAAGAATGAAAACAAGTTTAATATAAACAAGTTTGCAGTTCGTAGTCGCATGATTTCACACGGACGCGAGTGTTACGATTGTATCGGTGAACATCTATCTAACTGATATCAGTTCACATCTCACTGTTAAAACCAAAACCACACACAAAAACTATCAACAAACCTCGTGCGAAGAAATCACCGCTCCGAATTAAATGCAAATAAGTGCATTGTATCGCCATCTAGCGCAAATAATATAACTATAGTTAAATTAATTTAAAATTACACGCTTGGTCCATTTTCTAATAAATTATAATATTGCTGCCACAATACATAAAATAATTGATTAATTGGATGGAATTTAGTATGTTATTGTGAATGTTTATGAATCAAATATTGTTTATTTAATAAGTAATAGAAGAATCACTTCATAATCATGAATGTATGTGTAAGCATAGTAAAATTATTAGATGCAAATTTGTATTGGCAGAGAAAGAAAGCAAGTTAAATAAAAACAAGTTTGGGGCAGGTAGTGGCGTGATGTCACATGGTTACGAACTTCGTGTTTGTGTGAGTGAATACTTTCGATCTGATATCAGTACGCATCGCACTGTTCAAAACAAACAACACACAAATCTCAACAAACCTCGTGCGGTGAAAACGCCGTATCGAATTTATTGCAAAGAAGTGCATTATCACGCCATCTAGGGTCAATAAATGGAGTTATATTTAAATTACATTGGTGTTTATCACTATTTTTCGAACGGAAAACGCATTTTATAAATGATGCGTTGTTTAACTTAAATTAATTCCGCGATTATCTCATCGATCCTGTATTATTGTTAAAAAAAATATATCTTCATTTATAATGCAAATAATACTCCATATTGCTCCACTATTTATTTAAACTAATTTGAATACATTGTATATTAAACAGTGATTAGAGTTAGAAACTATTAACATTAATGCGAATATAATAGTTACGAGTATGTGCCCTGAGAGAATTATAATATTTTATATTTTTGTTCAAGAATTGCAAGAGTTAACGGTTGTTGTCGATGTGCTTCAAAAAGAAGTGGTACGCGCTGGAAATCTACTTGTAAGGCGTTTGAAACGACGAGACGCTCTCAGCCGCCAGAGGGAAGCACGATGTGAAGTTATTACCTGCTTACTACGCAAAATTCGCGAAAATTCAACAAAAGGTAAGAGTAACATCATCTAACCTAAATCAATCTATATTAAAATATTCAACACATTCAATTGTTCAAATTTGTTCAACGTATACAATGTGATCAATGTGTTGCATACGATAGCACTTAGTTCGCTACCCACTCGGATCAATAACGTATGAATGACGCCACGTTTTGTCCCCTCGTGAAAGCGGCGGTGGAGGCGGCACAGTGTCGTCGTTGTTGGATGTTGAATGTTGACTAAACATAGATAAGAACTCCAGCACAGACACACACACACACTCACACAAATCATACATACAATGTGTCCATGTATAAAGAGTGTGTAGGTGTAGGTTTTTTGCGGGGGTGGTAAAATTCGGTTTGCACGACGGCACTGCGTGTGCGTGGTGAACCTTGCGTGTATTCAGCGGCGGCGGCGGTGGCGGCAGTGCTAGTTGTGCCAGCACGCTGCACGCCGGTGGGTGCTGCCGCCGCCGACACGCGATGCCAACGTGGATGCGATGGCCTACGACCGCCACCACAGTCGCATACGCCAAAGAAAACAACAAATCAGTTACAATCATTTAAAATTTATTTCGGTATTGCTTTAATAAATTAATTCGGTGAATGAAGATTTCTAAAAATTATAACGCTAATTACTATGTGCGAGAGTGGCCGTGCGTGTTTAGTAATAATGCTGATAAGATTGATAAGATAAAATGAGTGGGCTTATAAATCAGCTGAAGAAGGCCGCCGCCTCGGGGGCGGCGAGCAATGCGTATAATTCGCAAAGAAATTCAGGTACATGACTTCCATACATTGAAATATTTATTCTAGGTTATGTTATGTTAGGTTAGGTTAGACAGCACGCAGCTCTAAAAATAACAATCGTATACTATTGTTGTTACGATAATAATAAATTGGGCAAATAAAATTATTCACGTTAAAATATAACGGCGTGCAAACGAAAACAAACAAAAGGGATTAGCAAGTAAACAAAGTATGAATGGGAAAAATAAAAGAAATGCAAACAATGTGCAAAAATCGACGGTCGATTGTGTTTGACGTTCAAAGTTCAATACCTACGATTCTTTTGTTTTCGTTTCGAAGTGAAAAATAACAAAGGACGCCAAAATGGCGAAAACGTAACGAATTTAAAACAAAAGACTACATCTTTGTTTACCACTGATTGTTTATAAATTGTTTAGATATATACCGCATCAAATAGTTACGTAGTTGTAAATGAAACTTGCCGAATTGTGGATGAATCTTTGATTGGAGCGCGTCCAAAAATAGCTCGCCGCGCGGCGAGTGGAAAGAGGCAAGGA